AGCAAGATGTGGAGTGAAAAGATAAGAGTGGATTTTCAAAATGGAATTCTGTTCTGCATATCAGAAGATACTATTGCTTCTGTACTGTATATAAAGAGAAATGATACCATTTCAAAAACTCCATTTCTAAAATGTTCCCAGTCACTATCTTAATTCTATATAGGAAAATATAATCTCCTGTTGTTATAAATTTTTTGCTAGCCAAGTTATCTGCTGAAGATTTTATGTGACAAATCCTTTTCTATTGTGTCAAGATTTAGAGTTGAATTTGAGCCAACCTAGTAAAATGTTACAGTAATTGTTGATTGTTGTAGATCAGATATACTGGTTAAATTATTTTAATTTTGAAATTATAAGCCCTCTCTAGACCCTTAGGAGCATATAAAATTAATTATAAATTCGAATTAATTATTGAGTACTTATAAATCACTTTAAAGGTTAAAAAGAGGTACCATCATGCAAAAAATTTTTTATATTAATGAAGCAAATATGACAAAATATTGGCATTTATTGGATCCATGTTGAAGAAGATAGCAATGGGATATAAAAATAATGTTCGTGGGAAACATAGGTTGTATTCATTGTGCTATTCTTTATCCTTTTTTCATGACAAATTGTATAACATGAGATTTTAAAAAATTAAATGATAATGGTATTGTTACACCTTCCTCAAGTGTAAGGATTGTTTTACAGAGGTTCATAAAAATTCTAACTTTCAACTTGTGGTTTTTCCTGGCTGTGCTGACTTGCCCACCTAGCTCCTGAGTCACCTATTAACATAAATTGAAGCAGATGAAGTGGGGGCATTGTCCATTCTTGCACAATACCATTTTGTGTAAAAATTATTAACTGAATCCTAAGTAAAAATCAAAGGTTATTTCAATGGTCATAGTTAATGTTTCCTGTAAATTCTACACTAATTATTTGTATTTCTTTAGGACTTTTCAGCATGGCCTGGATGAGTCTGCTTCAGATTCCTTAAAATCATTTTTTAAGCAACCATTATACTGGGTTTCTTGCATATCACATTTCTACCCTTCTTTACTCAGGTGAGAGCCTCTAAATGCCATACTATCTATATTTCTATGATTCCTTTTCAAATTTAATAGAAATTTTTATCTGTGGATGTAAATGAATTTACATCTTACAAAAAGAACTTATAACTTTTCACAACTGGCAGGTAAGTAAAGAGTATTTTTTCTCTTTTCTTAGCTCAAGAATCCAAGGCATGGGCCTCATAATTATTCTACTAGCTTATAACTTTTGTAACATAATGGAAAACTGTAAATTTTTGGAATTTAGTTCTATTTTAAAACTTGTCTTTCTTGATCTGTGACTGGGGATTTGACAATTCTCAAGCTAATTATCAAACATAGGCATGTAACTAACTCAAAGCCTTAGGTAGAAGTTGAGAGAGAAGTAACTTTTTAAATTATGAGTAGTATCTTTCACTTTTATTATTTAATTAACAGCACTTAAAAACAAGAAAAATCATTTAAAGTATGAAATGTGCTTCCAGAGTAATCTGATGGCATTTTGTGGCATTATGTGAAATGGCACTTTGATTTCTTGCTAAATATATCATTGGAAAGTACCTCTCCTTGGTATCCGAGAATAAAAATATCATGTATAGCTAAAGGAGATATTGTTAATCCCCATATATCCTTGATTCATTTTGGAAATACACTATCAGTTATTTCACCATATAAGCTGACTATATCTCTCTCTTGAAAAACAAGATTGTCACCTATAAGTAGAGGGTGTGAAAGCCTCATATACAAAAGTTTCCCTAGACACAAACTTATACTGTTTGCCTAATGTGTGCCTATTTCCATATGGATGATGAAAAATCCAAAATTAATGAGACAAAGACTCCATCTTTAAGGACTTCAATGTATTTTTTTTTTTTGGTTGTTTTGTTTTGTTTTTGAGATGGAGTTTTGCTATGATTGCCCAGGCTGGAGTGCAAAGGCGAGACCTCCACTCACCGCAGCTTCCGCCTTCCAGGTTCAAGTGATTCTTCTGCCTCAGCTTCCTGAGTTAGCTGGGATTACAGGTGTGTGCCATCGCACCTGGCTAATTTTGTATTTTTAGTAGAGACTGGGTTTCTCTATGTTGGTCAGGCTGGTCTCCAACTCCTGACCTCAGGTGATCTGCCTGCCTCGGCCTCCCAAAGTGCTGGGATTACAGGCATGAGCCACCGCGCCTGACTTGATGTATTGTTATTATTTCATTTACATATAAAACTTTGTCTACGTTTCTGATTAATTCCTTATGACTGAGTCCTAGAGATGGAATATCATTTCTAGGACTCAATGTTCTGTCATCTTGTGTGTAAATATGTCTTGCCATCTTGCACATAAATACATTTTATTTCAGTAGGAATTAATGTAATAAATATAAATAGCCAACTCCCTAATATTCATTGTTGCAAAAATAACAAATGACTGGATCTCTTACAATGAGTCAAGCAAACAAGCTGTGTCATTTGATGAGTTCCTAAATTTATAAACATATCTGTTCTCCATGTTATTATCACATTTGCTTTAACCTATTTTACTGCCCCCTTTTATCTTACATCTGGAACCACTGGAGTTATTCCCTTTTAGGCATAGCTCTGTAAGACTTCCACTTCCAAGCTTGCTCAGATCAACCCAGCTAGAGTCCTGGAAGTCAGCATGAAAATGGGCTTATCTTTCAAACACTAATTCTTATATTTAACTTCTTTCTCTTTTCTATATCTACAGAAAGCAAAAATGTACATTTCTTTTCTTTCTGCTTCTGTTTAGCAACCAATCTCCACTATTATCCTAACACAAAGACTAGGATATGGGAATGACTATTCAGCTTATAGTGGAAATACAATTTTATGCAAGCCTTCATAAGGGCAGTTTAGTAATATGTATTAAAAACTTAAAAACATTTTTGCCCTTTTATCTAACAATTCTATTTCTAGGAGTCAACTCTAAGCAGTTAATCAGAGAGGCTGACAAAGTTTTATATATGAAGATATCAATCAGAGCATTATTTATAAAAGAAAAAATGGAAATAAATGTTCTACAGTATAGCATTAGACAATTCAGTTATGGGATAGTGGCATAGACTACCGTGGAGTGATTAAAGGGCTGGGTTTTGAAAAATAATGACATAGGGAAATAATTGTGGTAGACAGGAGGAAAATTCAGGTTAGTAATTATGAAATTACCAAAGCCAACCCAGTTTTTAGAGTGATAAGTGTGTACCAGACACAGTGCTAAGTGCTTTACATACATTATCTTTAAAACCTCACACTAGTTCTGTGAGGTAAGTACTCGGGTGCTTCTTTTATGGAGAGCAAAGTGCTGTGTAGGTGGCAACATTCTGGAGGGAACAAAATTGGAAGCCAGGCTGAACCCAGGCCTGTTCCATTCTAAAGCTTAAGCTCTTGACAACCACATTTCCACTTTTCAAAGGGAAGAGCAGTTCAGGGTGATGTTAACAGGTGTACATGAAAAATCATTCTCCTGCATAAATAAGATTGTTAGTTACTAATTATGTAAAGTCTTTTTTGTGATTTAACTTTGTAGGGCCTCTGATGTGCTAGTATACAGTGTTTAGCTCTGCTGTGGTCAGAATGAGTCCTCCAAAATTCATGTGTTGGAAATAAAATCCCAATGCAACTGTGTTGAGTGGTGGGTTCAATGGAAGTTATTTATGTCATGTGGGTTTTGCCCTCTTAAATGGATTAACATTACTATAAAAAAGGCTTACAGGAATGGGTTCATTTCATCTTGCTTTTCTTCTGCCATGTGAGGTCACAGCAAGATGGCCTCACCAGATGCTAGTGCCTTGATCTTGTACTTCCCAGCCTCCAGAACTGTGAAAAATAAATCTTTCTTCTTTGTAAATTACCCAGTCTGTGTTATTACATCATGGCAGCACAAAATGGACTAAGACAATCTCCAAAGGAGGCATCAAGTATGCAGATTCCCCAAACTTGCTGGGTGAGATAACTCTTGTTTTACAGAAAATTAACAATTATTGGAAAGTAGGACATCATTGGTAAGTGTTGAACTATGCTATACTACCATATTTAGGGCATAAAGAAAGTACGTATAGAAAAGTAAATACTGAAAGGATGTAAAGCAGTGGGTTTATAGTTTTTATCTCTGGGTGGTAGGATTGCCAGCAATTTTAATTTTCATCTGTATAGTTGTATATATTTTCCAAATTTTTATAATGAGTATAATTTAATTTTATTAATTATGAATACATTTTTAAAAAGCAGAAAGAAAATCTGTTTTCTTTGATTTCTCTTTTATTCACATTGCTTAACCTTAACCTCTATACAGACGATTTCCAGTTCTGCATCTCTAGTTTTGAGTTTAAAACTGCTTTCATTATGTCTCTCTCTCTCTCTCTCTCTCTCAGAAATCTATAGTAGCTTCTGCTTCACCCACACTGTCTCTCCTGGCTTACTTGCTTGAGAGTTTTCTGGCTTATTTCCTGGAGAGTTTTCTCTGCTCCAGTTAAGTCAGTCTCCTCTTATGTCTTTAAGACTTAGTTATTCCATATTTTTAATATTTAATTTGTTGCTTATTCTCAGTTTCAGCCCTTTATTAATGCAGTTTCCTTTCTTGGAATACATTTGGTTCTCTCCCTTTTCTTTCTAAAATTTCCACACAAGGTATAGTAGGAGGACTCTCCCCGTTATCACCCCTGCCCATTAAAAGTCATATTTTCAACTAAGTCCATATAATCTGCTTAGAAAGACATGTTCCCTGTGATTTGTAATCCAGTGTGCTCAGAGCACTGTACAATCAGAGGAACCCAGGGCAGCAATAAAAGCAGTTTTAAAATAACTAAAGTTATTTATTTGCATTTACCAGACATTACAATGGGGATTCCTAGACCACCATTATGTGAGCTTAAAAATCTCACCTTTCCATTCATTTCCCTCACCTGTATCAGCTGTCTATATGAGTCTTTCACCCCCAAACTATCCTTCAAAATTCCATTCTTCACTTTAGCAACTAAAATGAACTGTTCAAGAAAATACAGGGGTTGGACGATGACAAATGAAAAATATATTAGGCTTCTCTTTTGGTAAAGAGGAAGGCTGAGAGGAGAGGTGAATGAAGTAGTTAATATCATGAAGGAACTTAACCATGAGATTAATACATTTTCCACATGTCTTAGTTTAATCTAGTATGAAACTGATTATCCTCTCTAATCAACTCACAATGTTAGCCTATACCACTGCTAGGGACAATGAATATAGTACATTTTACTTACTCCTTTGAAAATATATTTATTTTACCTAAAATAAACTCCTCTAAACTCTATTCCCAGGGTTCTAGGAGAACATGAAAAAATGTATTTTTATCCATTTTACTGTTTTCTCTAGTAAGCTTATAGACAAATATATGGTCCATACTGATGTTTCTACATTTTTCACTCTATTTGTAATCTCACTTTTCATGATTACAGATGAATCATTTTTGGTTTTTTCCTTCTACTCGCTTTTAATTATCTTAGTTTATATAATATTGCTAAAAGCTGACTTAAATTCTTTCTGAAACAATCTGCAGGTACAAATAAGTAAGCAAATAGATGAATAAATTACTAAGCTCCTTCGAGATATTAAGACATATAGCATGTAATATGAAAATAATGAAACCAAAGATAACTTAATATGTTTAGGGAGGAAAATATATGTATATAAGTCCAAAACAGGATTACATTGAATAGAAGCAGAGTAGAAACAAAAAGCCCAGTGGAAAGAAATATATACAGCTTAAAATGGACTGGCCATAAATCAAAGCATCATGTTGTCACTGTAGAAGAAAATGAGCAGTTAAAACTGTTTACTCACACTGATTGTACTTCTTGGGCTCAGTGTACAGTTATGACCTATTTAGCTAAGGAAGGGATATTTAAAAATATTCTTTTAAAGCAAAATGATAAAAGGCATTATAATGCAACATATTATAATTAACTAGGATAGCATTTTTTCTTGAACGTTTCTGTGAAAGCACACTTTGGTGACTGTCTTAATCTTTTTTCTCTCCTACATACCCAATCCATTACTAAGTCTCATTAATTTTAACTTCTAGTATCTACTATCCATGGTACCAGTTTCACCTTAGTCCAAACTACCATCGTCTGTCTCTTAACTACTGCAGTGACCACTAGCATTCTTCCTATGTACATGTTGACTTCCATTTCTAATATTCTCCAACGATAGCAAGATTTTTCTCAATCCCAAATCTATTTTCAAAACTCAAATTTTATCATGGCATACTTATGGCTTACCTTCCATGAATTCACTTTTATCCTTAAGTATGTATAAAAAACTAGCATAGCCAATAATATATACATAGATGTGACTCTTACCCACTTCTCAACCCTCTTCTGATACCCACTACTATGTGAACTCTATTTCCACACATTAGCCCATTTACATGTTCTTTTTATGCCATGTTCTTTTCTGCCACAGGATTTTTGCACATGCTTTGCCCTTTCGCTAAAATGTCTTTCTCCTTCACATAGGTAATGCTAGCTTATCTTCATCTCTCAGCCCAGATGTGACTTCTGCAGAGAAGACTTTTAGCAACTGAGGTGAACTAGCAAGACTAGTTCAATTCCTTTTTACCACATCTTCTAATAGCATTTTGGCTTCTCTTTCACTGAGTTTTTATAAGTGTCATTTTATCTTTATTTGTGTGATCACTTAAACTACATATGTATCTTCCACTAAATTCTATAAGAATAAGGACTTTCTGCTTTTTGCTTACTGTTATGTGTCCATGGTTTAGCATATACAAGTTAAACAATAAATATTAGTTGGATGAATGAATGAATGAATAAAAAAATTCAAACTTGAATTGTGTCCCCTAAGTGCTAAAGTATTGTATTGTATAGTATAAGTGCTATATTAAATGGTAGGAACATTTGATCTGTGTGCTAAGGCCCAGGCATGGGAGGCATAGTCTTAATGAGGAGGTAACTACTAGTATCCTTAGGAGAGAACATCTAGGGAGGAGGACAAAACGAGTTTATGGTCTCTCAACTGCTGCTGACAAACTGCTCTGCAGGGCTGAGGAAAAGAGCTTAGAAAGCCTGTGCTCTGATGAGGTACCAAGCATTGACATAGCATCAACAGCCAGGGGAGAAGTAACTAGAGCTTTTAAACAGCAGAGGTCTTAAATGGCTGTTCCAGAGTATGGATGGACAAGCAGCTATCTCTTTGAAACAATTTTCAGAGGGAAGTCAGTGTCTGCCAAACAATTATTTTAAAAAAGTGAAAATGTCAACTGAACTAGGTATTTACCATATAGACATGGATATATTAAGGTTTACATCTTTTCTATCATGGCTTAATATATTACATAATTAAGAATATGGAGATGAAGCCAGCAATGTGATAATAGAAAACAGCCATAGGTTTTCACATTGGATTGCATACTTGTCTAGTTTTGTGGTTTTGGAAAGTTAGCCTATGGGTGCTTCAGTTGAGTTTACCCTTATATGAAACAGTTTATATTTTGGGGAGGATGTTGAGACATAAACACAATACAATCTTATTGTCTTATTGATCTTCTTGAAAAAAGTATGCAATCCTATGGTCTACTTCCCCCTTCTTAAAACATCTTCTTCCCTTCACTTCTGAGATACTGTCATGATAGGGTCATGATGACCCCATGAGCTCAAGTGCCTCAGTGGCATGCATCACATAAATACTAAACTATCATTCATAACTGCTGTTAGTAAACAGCTATATATTTCAGAAAGTGGCAAGTTTGATCAATTATCTAAACATGTGAAGGGACTTACTTCAAGTATGATAAAGTGGAAGGAATGTTGAACCACTTTCTCACTGGGTCAGGAATATGATGCTAGGGGAGACTTTTCCTGAACTCCCCATAACAGTTCATTATCTGACAGACAGGGACCAATAATAAGTCAATGGCTCCGGGAAGATAACTTGTGCTTCTCAAAAGAATGGCTGAGTGATTCAGTGTTGTCAAATGTCTTAGTAATTCAGGTGCTAGGGTAGTATTGATTGGAGAGAGCCCAAAACTGATGGCTGGAATCTAATATTAGTCATACACCAGGTAATATAGATACAACCAACCTTGAAAAAAATATGATTCTTAAAAACATCAATCCACATTAGTGGACAAAGCTCTTAAAAAAATCAAGCGGTGTGGCTGGCAAGATGGCTGAATAGGAACAGCTACAGTCTGTAGATCCCAGGGAGATAAACACAGAAGGCAAGTGATTTCTGCATTTCTAACTGAGGTACCCAGCTCATCTCATTGGGACTGCTTAAACAGTGGGTGCTGCCCACTGAGAACAAGTTGAAGCAGGGTGGGGCGTCGCTTGACCTGGGAAATGCCAGGGATTGGAGAACTCCATTTGCTAGCAAAGGGAAACTGTGAGGGACTGTGCCATAAGGAACAGTATACTCTGGCCCAGACACTATGCTTTTCCCATGGTCTTCATGACCTGCAGACCAGGAGATTCCCTCGGGTGCCTACACCACCAGAGCCCTGGGTTTCAAGCACAAAACTGGTGGCCATTTGGGCAGACACCAAGCTAGCTGCAGGAGTTTTTTTTCATACCCCAGAAACACAACAAAAAAAGAAAATTTCAGGCTGATATCCCTAATGAACATCGATGTTTATCAAATCCTCAATAAAATACTGGCAAACAGAATCCAGCAGCTCATTAAAAAGCTTATTCACAACAATCAATCAGCTTTATCCCTGGGATGCAAGGCTGGTTCAACATATGCAAATCAATAAACGTAATCCATCACATAAACAGAACCAATGACAAAGGCCACATGATTATCTCAATAGATGCAGAAAAGGCCTTAGATAAAATTCAGCACCCCTTCATGCTAAAAACTCTCAAAAAACCAGGTATTGATGGAACATATCTCAAAATAATAAGAGCTATTTATGACAAAACCACAGTCAATAACATATTGAATGGGCAAAGCTGGAAGCATTCCCTTTGAAAACTAGCACAAGACAAGGATGCCCTCTCTCACCACTCCTATTTAACACAGTATTGGGAGTTCTAGCCAGGGCAATCAGACAAGAGAAAGAAATAAAGGTGTTCAAATAGGAAGAGAGGAAGTCAAATTGTCTCTATTTGCAGATGACATGATTGTATATTTAGAAATCCTTATCATCCCAGCCCAAAATCTCCTTAAGCTGATAAGCAACTTCAGCAAATTCTCAGGATACAAAATCAATGTGCAAAAATCACAAGCATTCCTATACACCAATAATAGACAAACAGAGAGCCAAATCATGAGTGAACTCCCATTCACAATTGCTACAAAGAGAATAAAATACCTAGGAATACAACTGACAAGGGATGTGAAGGAACTTTTCAAGCAGAACTACAAACCACTGCTCAAGGAAATAAGAGAGGACACAAACAAATGGAAAAACATTCCATGCTCATGGATAGGAAGAATCAGTATTGCGAAAATGGCCACACTGCCCAAAGTAATTTGTAGATTTAATGCTATCTCCATCAAGCTACCATTGACTTTCTCCCCAGAACTATAAAAAAAACTACTTTAAATTTCATATGGAGCTAAAAAAAGCCCATATAGCCAAGACTAATCCTAAGCAAAAAGAACAAAGCTGGAGGCATCATGCTACCTGACTTCAAACTATACTGCAAGGCTACAGTAACCAAAACAGCATGCTCTGGTAACAAAACAGATTATATAGACCAAATGGAGTAGAACAGAAGCCTCAGAAATAACTCCACACGTCTACAACCATCTGATCTTTGAAAAACCTGACAAAAACAAGCAATGAGGAAAGGATTCACTATTTAATAAATGGTGTTGGGAAAACTGGCTAGCCATATGCAGAAAACTGAAACTAGAGTCTTTCCTTACATGTTATATGAAAATTAACTCAAGATGGATTAAAGACTTAAATGTAAGACCTAAAACCAGGAAAACCCTAGAAGAAAACCCAGGCAATACCATTCAGGACATAGACATCAGCCAAGACTTCATGACTAAAGCACCAAAAGCAATGGCAACAAAAGCCAAAATTGACAAATGGGATCTAATTAAACAAAACAGCTTCTGCACAGAAAAAGAAACTATCATCGGAGTGAACAGGCAAACTACAAAATGGGAGAAAATGTTTAGAATCTATCCATCTGACAAAGAGCTAATATCCAGAATCTACAAAGAACTTAAACAAATTTACAAGAAAAAAAAACTCCATCAAAAAGTGAGTGAAGGATACGAACATACACTTTTCAAAAGAAGACTACTATGCAGCCCCCAAACATATGAAGAAAAGCTCATCATCACTGGTCATTAGAGAAATGCAAATCAAAACCACAATGACATACCATTTCACATCAGTTAGAAAGGCAATCATTAAAAAGTCAGGAAGCAACAGATGCTGGAGAGGATGTGGGAGAAATAGGAATGCTTTTACACTGTTGGTGGGAGTGTAAATTAGTTCAACAATTGTGGACAACTGTGTAGCAATTTCTCAAGTATCTAGAACAAGAAATACCATCTGACCCAGCAATCCCATTACTGGGTATATACCCAAAGGATTACAAATCATTTTACTATAAAGAAACATGCACACATATGTTTATTGCAGCACTGTTCACAATAGCAAAGACTTGGAACCAACTCAAATGCCCATCAATGATAGACTGGATAAAGAAAATGTGGCACATATACACCATGGAATACTCTGCAGCCATAAAAAATGATGACTTCATGTCCTTTGCAGGGACACGGATAAAGCTGGAAACAATCATTCTCAGCAAGCTAACGCAGGAACAGAAAACCAAACACCACATGTTCTCATTTATAACTGGGAGTTGAGCAATGAGAACACATGGACACAGGGAGGGGAACATCACACACCAGGACCTGTTGGGGGTTGGGGGACCAGGGAAGGGATAGCATTAGGAGAAATACCTAATGTAGATGACAGGTTGATGGGTGCAGCAAACCACCACGGCACATATATACCTATGTAACAAACCTGTACATTCTGTACATGTATCCCAGAACTGAAAGTATAATAATATAAATAAATAAATAAATAAAAGGCAAGTTCTGTATATGCAGGTGAGTTCTATCTGATATCTACTTTTATTAAATCATCTTTAAATATAAATATCATAGAGACTTTGCTATACCCATTATAGAGATTAAAACATATGCAGACATTTTCAGTGCTATAACTATGTATAGTTTACACACTTCTGGTTAAAGTGAAAAATCAAATATTTTGGGTTCCTCTCAACATTTTTTTCTTAGGCACTAAAATTATCTTCCTAGAGAAAGATGACACAATTGCTTTAAACATTTGTCTTTACTTCTTTCCCCAGAAAGACTTTGAAGGATACATTATGGAAAACTAAGAGTAGTACAATGGCAATATGGGGACTTCTCTTCTCCTTTTGTTTTCTCATATTAGGGCTTTCATCCTCAGTGTCTCTTTAGTTATGCCCTTGCCTTGGTTCTCTGAATCGTGTAACTTATGGTCTCTGGTATAAACTTCGCCCAGTAACCCTTGCCAGGAATCATCTGGTTGAAATCAATTTCTGGATACCTTGAATAACATGCTCCAATCTGGGAATAAGGTTTGAGAACACATAATAGATTTTGGGTCAAAAACATGATATTGTCAGTCAGAGGGCTGAATAAATCCAGACATTCTCAATGCTGGAAACTACAACGTATGCGCCAAATATCAATCAGTTTGAATGGGAGAAAAAGTGGAGTAATGGAATGAGCATGGGTTTGAAGTCAGAGAGATCTGCGTTCCAAGTCCCAGTAGACATACTGATTAGCTTGGACTTGTTTCTCAATATTCCTGAAACAAGGATTAGGTGAGAGGAACACTAAATACCCTCATACACATCCTATTTTGAATTTCTCCAAGCAGCAAACCCCAAGACAAGGATTCAAATAAATGTAGTTTATTTTTTAAGTAGAACAAATACTGGAAGAGGAGTGGATAAGTGATATTAAGAGAGGAAGAGAGCAAATAAAAATTTGTGTAATCAAGCTAACTACCATAGAAGTGACCAGAACTTAAACCTCTGGGGAAAATTTTGAGAACCAGTATAAAATATATGTTTCAGAGTTATCCCAGCAAAGGAGCAAGGATGCTGAGGTATTCATACACCAACTCTTCTCAGTCATTGGTTGAGGGTCACTCTGATGGTGTTAATTCCTGGCCCTTGCAACCTGTCTTGCTAAAAGGTACAAGAAATGCAGACTCTAACAGATGTAAATCAGGCTAGTGTGAACTGAGAGATAAGGGCAAGAGGATGTGGGGTGATATAATTTGGCTCTGTGTCCCCACCCAAATCTCATCTTGAATTGTAATCTCTACATGTCGAGGGAGGGACCTGGTGAGAGGTAATTGGATCATGGGGGTGGTTTCCCCCACACTGTTCTCATGATAGTGAGTTCTCATAAGATCTAAAGGTTTAAAGGTGTTGGCAGTTCTCCTGCTTCCTTTCTCCTGCTGCCATGTAAGATATGCCTTGCTTTCTCTTTGCCTTTTGCCATGATTGTATGTTTCATGAGGCCTCCCAAGCCATGCATAACTAGGAGTCAATTAAACCTCTTATATTTACCCAGTCTCAGGTAGTTATTTTAAGCATTGTGATAATAGACTAATACATGGGGTCATTGACAATGTCTTCTATGGCCCTACCCTTTACACTACCGAGGTCTGCTTATTCCCTATGCTAGGTTCCCTGAATTCCATCATTGATTCTTCAGGGTCGTAGCTGCTTACAATTTATTTATCTATGTAAGCTTAATGATAATGGACTTAGTAGGACAGGCTACAGTACCCCTTGCTCTAGATATTTCTGAATCTGCAAGTCATATTCATTATTATATTCTTCCACCACCCTTTCTCTCATCACTGGTCATCATCTCTGCTGATTTATGTTATTTGCTGGGTGGGGTCACTGAGACCTTCATCCTCGAGGTGCTGAACTTCTGTTTACCATTCCCTTATCAGACTTGGTTACTGAAGTCTTCTGTATGTCAGTCATGAAAGCATTGAGAGATGCCCTGGTGAATCTCTTGAGTTACAGATACACCTCCCTGTTCCCCTTATGCAGTAGAAAGCCCAGCTTCTCATGATAAATAGGGTTAATCACCCTTGCCAGCATAGTAACTCCTTTCTTTTCCTGATAAACTGCTGGCATGTGGAGCTAAAAATGACCAGATGGCAGCTATAACTTTAGATTTAGTGGAATTCTAAATGGTCTCCTGGTAGAACTGTGTATACCCCCATCCCACCCCACCATGGAAACCAGAACCTCTGCTTCTCCAGAGTTTATAGATATTGGCAGTAGAAAGCACAAATTTGCCAAGTGGATAATCAGAATCTTTGGTGGGAGGGGCTGCTCCTACTTTCACCCCTTGTCTCTCAGACCTATGTAGTTTGTCTGTTGGGGTAACAGTACCATATAATGACTGTTGGTTCAAAGTAAACATCAAGTCTTGAGGGACAGTATTCCAGCACCACTGTGTGTCATTCCCAAGCTGTGAACTTTGGGG